CATCCGCTGATACATTAAAGATGGGAGATACGCTGATACAGTCTGCCTCTGAAGATATTTCCTTATGTAATCTAGTGAGATACGTTTTTGTTATTTTTGAAACTGTATGTAATCATAGATGAAACAAAAGCCTGAAAGACAGGATCTTGTCTATAGACTTTTTTAAGAGACAATGTTGCCATTATCATGTTATTGGCATGGGGAGATGTTCTCACATGCTATTTTAAATTAAGTTCTCAGAATGACTCTTTTACATTTGCTGGATTTTATCAACGGATTTTATCCAGTGGAAAATTTAAAAGTAGCGTGAAAATTTGTATTGGACCTATGGTGCCAGCTTCTGCACTTTGCAGGGAGATGTCCATTATTTGTGGGCTACTCGTCTGTGAAAAGCTTTCACTGCTCAAAGAAATCTTTGGGACAAGATTTTTTTTCGCTGTCTGATGGTTACCGTTATCTACAGTATCTGACTGAGGTTTTGTTGTAGTGCCAATTACATTTTCCACGATAATGGACTTAGAAACCGTAGCAAAACAGGAATGTCCTTCTTTGATATTTTTGGATCGTCTGCTTAAATCAAACAGCGTTCCATGAAACGATGAATTTGTACTCAGAAGAAAACTGCCGAAGTCATTACGAAGGAGACCAAAAGCATTTGAAACGGATGTACATGAAAGAATAAAGTCTTTAACTGAGAAAATATGTTTGACGTAAACAAGATATAATATTTAAACCTGAAAGATTAAGACGTTAAAAGACAGGTTTTGAGAATTAAGAAATAATGACGTGGAATGGGGAATTTATGAAAATGTGGACCAGTAATTGAATCTCGGATTTTTTAAGTAAAGAAAGATTAAAAAAATCCGCAGAGAAAGCTATTATGAAACGTTGGAATTTCCGAACCTAAAAGACCTTTGGAACAAACGATGTTATTCGAAAGCGCGAATACCACCACTGTCACTGCAAAGGACACAGTTACATCATGACTTGTAGCGATGTCGATGCTTTTTAGCAAAGAGCTGGAAAGCAATTGTTTGCTCTTAAGCTTTTGATTCTTGATCAGCAATAACTACTGTCGAATACATTTCATGCATGCTATGCAATATAGGCATGAACTAGAACGCAAGTCGCATTTATGCCTTTTGCAGCTTGCTCACTCGATCTTGAGGCTGCTAACTTCTTCATGATTTCATGATTTTATGATCAACCAGCAAAAGGCAACGGATATTTCCCAATTATGTCATAAAGGTTGAAATTGCATTTGGTGAAAAATAGACCGAGTACGTATCTATCATAAACCTTATTTTGGAAATATTCTGTACAATGCATAGCTTTTTTTACCCTGGGTACCAGACTCACTATGTATTTTATATAGTGAGTCTGGTACCCAGGGTGAGCTTTTTTAAACTCTTCGTCGAAATCTTTGTAAATATCCTGGATTTTTAGGGCTGATAATCGAGAATAGTCGACAGGTACATTTATGTATTAATTCACCTTTTTACAGAAACACAGTCTGCATGTAAAATTTACAACTGGCTGAGAGGCTAGCTCTTTATCAATCTAATTCAACCCACTAAGTATGGCACCACCATCAGTGATGTCAAACCTAGTTCTGCCATAGAATAGCCACATTTTTCGAATTCAACCGATTCTTTTAGGAGTATTTTCCACGTTATGAGAAGCTAAGAGATCTTTATTTGAAATTAATGACGAATAATCTATTTTATAATGATAGATTGGAAGATTTTTATGTGATAGATTAAGGGATATTCAAGTTTCTGCTGTTATTAATAACCCTCGTAATCCACGATTAAAGCACAGATAAGAACGGTTTTGCGACAAATACGATTTTGGCCAGGTACCCAGCCAATGGGTAACTGTTCTTGTGATCCACTCCAGCGAATTTATCTCAATGAACTTGGACTTTGTTTTTGCCACACTTGCAACTGAAGCATATTTGCTAGACTAGCGACGTTGAGATTAACTTCGGTTTTTATTCGTTGGTGTAGAAAGGCTGCCAGGTGGAGTTAGTGCGCGATTAGTGATTTGGGGATTTCACTTAAGGTAGGACACGAGAGAGATAGGACGCTGATTTTCAAAATGAAGCGAATGCTTTCCCATCGAGATTACTTTCCCATCCATATTGGACTGTAAGGTTCTTCGCTTTTGCTCAATGTCAGACACTGCTCGTATTTTTGAATACGAAAAAAGAATTTGATTAACATATCGGAATAACCGATGGCTGTGCTATGAACCAACTTTGAATTTTAAATGAAAATATTAAACAGATTAAGAACTTTCTTTACATTCATTGAACTTTTAGGAAATTTGACTGGCAATTTTGTTCCACTCGCTACTTGGATATGGGCATTAGCTGCCTTATTCACATAATTGTTTATCACAATGATAAATGAAGTTAAATTCATGAAGAGAAACAAAATTGCATGGAAATTTGCTAAAATTTAAGCATTTGTCATTTCGGTCTTTTTTGTAAACTGCGCAGATCTACTTATAGAATGAAACTAGTTGCTGTAGTTTGCCAATAACTATAAAAGAGTTCGTCGCAAAGTGATGACGTCGCAAAGTCAATTTGGCTCCATGAAGCTAAAAGAGCATCATCGGTGCAAAATCAGTTAAATGTGTCACGAATTGGCTGAGATCACATGAACACTGGCTCTTTCCCCATCAAACCTCTGTAATTTGGTCTCTGTTCATAGCTTTATGAACCGAGTCAGAATACCAGAGATCCATTAGAAAACTTCAAATTGACATATTTAACTGATTTTGAATATTTTGATATAATATTTCCTGTTATTCTTTTATGCTATGTTGTTAAAATTCCAAAATTTTAAAAATAGTTTTGTGACGTCACGCTTGAGAATTCTTTTCCACAGAGTCCGTCCTTTTTGACAAGCTGTAATGCTGTGGAGATTGATACCCAAAACTGTGTAACTGTGCCAAGAAAAGCTTAATCCTTGAAACAAGATTTTTAAAATATTATTAATAGGCAACGGTGACATATAGATTGGATTGCACCACTTCAATGTGTGCAGGTCAAACATAGCTACACAGCGAGGATTCAATGAACATAACTATGGCTAGTTTTTGAACATACTAGTAATGAGTTCTATCTAGAACGGAAAAATCGCGAGACGCTGTTAGATGAAAGGGAGAGGCGGTAAATCAATACATTGAAAGACATTAAAAAATTCTGCATTGGAAATGTCAACTTAGGGCTGCAGTGCCACAGCTAGAGAATCAAAATTTCGAATTTTGGACTGGAATATGACAGAAACACGTCATGTATCGAGAGAGTTGTTACCCACACAGAAAGTTCAAAAATAATGTATGTTTGTGCATTTCAAGTGCAGACCAGCCTTTCAGCATTTTATAACGTATAGTTAAGCATAATTGATTCAAACTATGGTTTGACTTTCTATTCCTTTACTTTTGCAGCAGCAAAAGTTATGATATCTTAGTTATGGAACCATTGAAGAAGTTAGCAGCCCCAAGAGAAATCAACTCATTTCCTTAGATGAACTTTGGGAATTTCTTAAATTTCATTTTGGCTAACTTTGAACGTCGTTGGAAAAGATTTAATCGATAATTGTATGGAAAACATAAATCTTCATAGAGCTCCCTGAACCCTGTTATCTCCTTGAGGTACCGAACTTAATTTTCGATTGGGCCATGTAAAGTCTAATCTTGCGATCTGTAAAAGAGAGACAACTTTGCATATTTAATTATCCAGATAAGAGATTTGAATGAGATAAAAAATTGACTTATCGTGGTTTAATCAGATTGATGTCGCTTCTTTGTCTAAGTCAGTTTTGGTTCCTAGGGGTGTATAAATATCTGTTTTTTGGTACTTAACTTGGGCCAAGTCACAACCCAGTTTAGTGAAAATAGTGGATAAAGCTTACAATCTAACCAGCCATTTCTGTATAAAGCTAGCTGGTTTAGTTAGGGTGAACCAAGGAGAGTTTTTACTTTTTGTTCCTTTTTTGCAGATTCAGGACTTTTGCATTTTCTCTAAACCAATTCTCAAATAAACAACTCGCTTTTTCGAGAACCTTTTCTTTTTATACTGTAGCAGGACTATTCTAAGTAGGTTGAGTCCCAAATACGCATAATTACATACATATACGCCTCATGACAAAATTGGTAGCTAAAGCTTGCTTTCTATTGACCCGTTCTTAAAAAGCCATGAAGCAATCAGATGGTGTTTTGGTAGTGGAAGCCTTTGCTGGTGAAATATTGCGCATTTTCTCTCTTTTCTGCATCTTTTTATATTTTTTCATTTCCACATACTTCTATCCCCGGCATCAAATAAACCTGGCGTGGTAGATTTAAATTTTATTAGGCGGCAACCAGTATTATTAGGCGCCAATGTTCCCCAAAAAAGAGGCTCAAAGCTTGCAAGTAAGAAGGATTCAACTCAATCAAAAGGTTTAACCAATCACTGCCAATTTGCTTTAAACGTAGTTTGCATCGTTTTGCTTCCAAGTTTCAATAAGCCTCCCATTATTACTCTTGTTGATTTGCCTAGCTAGTTCAGATCCCTTTTAACTTACAACCATCCCCACTTGGAATATTCGCACAGAATTCTCTGCCCTGTATTCTTAGCAATATGATTTTCTTCATTTATATTCAGATTATGCAAAATAAGTCAAGCCTCATAATCATCTTCTTAGGAAGCAATTTGCATAAGCTAATATGGTCGTCAATTTTTATTGGATAACGTAATCATCGTGTTGTTAGAGGAAGGTCAATTGTTTGTAAATGGACTTATTATGAGAGCTATTTCTGATTTTCTCCTCTTCTCTACAAATCGACTAACTAACTAACAAAGATAATGACTGACTGATAATCGCCTAAAAAGCATGGTAAGTTCATCAAATTGATAACGTAAGCATACACACATGGCAAAAGAAGAATCATTTACAATTAGTGTGAAATCATTGATATAAATAAGGTAGAAAAGGGGACAAGGCATGAGCCTTGTAGTACATCAAAATTGAACGCTTCAGTTTTCGAACTGACGTCAACATCTGGCAAATTTGCTCTACAAAATCTATGCCAACTGGACATTTTTGGTGTTCAACACCATAACGATAAATTTTTTGGTGAAGATTGGCATTTTTAACTATATCTTATGCTTTTTCAGGTTAATAAATCTAATCTAACTAGAGCGAGCTAATGTTACAAGTCATCTATATTTTCATCTTTTATCTTTAAGTTTGTCTTTAAACAAGCAACGAATCTCAAATAAGCTTATTAAATTTATGTGAAAATAATCAAAATAGGTCCCCACACCCTAATGTTTGCCAATGTGAGTTTATTTGATCGTTTATCCTAAAAATCATATCCATCTTCCGTACCATCAAATAAAGCCTCCACGGTGACCTAAATTTTGTTTCTGTTATCAATTTAACGGCAGGCAATCCAGAAAGGTATTGGAAATTAAAAAACGTGTTATTTCAACAGAGCTAAAAGGCTGAAATTAGATATGAACAAATTTTTGCTATCCTTTTTAGCAGTGGAAGCTCCCCTACAAAGCCCGCTACGCGGGTTTGCCAGTGGCCCTACGGTAGAGTATGCAGATTAGCCTCGAAAAAGACAGGTGTATAAACCTCGATTTGAAAAAAATTGGCTCCGTACAGGTCACGTGATAAAAATTACTCGCACTCAGGGGGTCGCCTGAGATAGAGAAGGGGTAGAGCCTTCCCCCCCTCTCCTAGCGATAGTCACAGGAGTGCGATGGTAGTGTCTGTGCTAATTTTACATGCTATCATTAAGTTCTCGCCTTTACATAAATCTTCTCTCAAATAAATTATTTTCGAAAAAGCCCCAATAAAAACATTTCTGGCAAGTAAATCCCCTAAGTGCTTAATCGAGGAATTGAGCTATTTTTATATCTAAAAAGTGACCAATTTCTTCAACAATCCAACTAACGTTTGTTATCTGACGGTAGCAAATAAGAAGTAGAAGTGAAAAAAACGCCGTTTATCAAGTAGAATATATTTGCATGTTGATTAGTTGATTTTCAATATTACATATTTACATGTCTTGATACGAGAAGTAACTAACCAATAATTCGACAGCAAAAAATAATGCCACACCTGAGAAACCGTAAGACGTAATAAAACAAACTGGGGATAGTAGAGCAAAATATGAGTAAAAGTAAATACGATTCTCGCGTATTGTCAAGTTAGGAAAAATTATACACCTTTTTACTGATTATGAATAATTATTAATTGTTTACTAAGCATGAAAAGATATATCTTTAAACGACTGGGTCTAAGCGTTGGAGATGATCTCTACCAAATACTGTTTGTAGATTTTAACTAATTTGTATTTGTGAATGAGATTTAGGTTTTTTATTTCAAATTATACGTCAGGTATCAATCATTACCTTCTGTAATTTCTGCCCAGTTACAAACATTTCTTATTATAAGTTCTGGTAATCCGGTTTGATTAATAATTGATTGAAAATTGATAAACTGCCTTCTTTTTTACGCTGAAAATTCACTTTATCTTATCTATTCACACTATGCCCGCAATCAATGCTAGTAAATCAGTGAAATACTCCAGTAAAAGGTTATGAGGTTTCTCAATTCACCTCAGAAGACTTCCTGCATTTTCAATTTGCCGAATGCGACAGACTGAATACTCGCCCCTGCTATCTTTTACCTTCAAACTGTCAATATTTTTTGTGCGCTTGTGCGTTGGAGGACGACCACAGTGTTGCTAGCAGCAAAGGTATCAACAATACTTACAGCACCTTTGAGCCAAATAATGACGGCATAAGTTTCAACACAATTTTTAGTTTTGATTTTAAGCAGCATCAGTTTGAAATTTGAAGCAGCTCAAATTTGCTGACTCTTATCACTCTACTAATGAGCATGATTTAGAGTTTATTTTATCTGTCTGTCTACATCAGGTATCCTAGTGCTTAGGCATTGTATAATGAACAAATACGTTGAATCTCTCAGTACCTATCACTATTAGCACCACAAAAGGCTATTTCTGTTAAGAGAAAACAAAATAAATCTTCAGGCTAAACAGATGTGCTGTGTAACTTGACTCTAGTCATTCGTCTGCCTTTGGATTAGGTTTTTGGATTTTCCTTAACGAACACCCCGAATGCAAATGCCCTCCTCCATTTGTAACAACTTCAAGAAAAACAAACTTAAGCTGCCAAGATTACACCCAGACGTTGTTCTTTCGCAAAGTAATCGAGATAACTCTAATGAAAATGCTGCCGAAAGTTAAGCCATAGCTTCTTTTTAAATAGTCTTTTTGAGGAGAGAAACCACAGTCTCCAAGGATAAGTCTCCTTAATACTTTTTGTGTGTTGCAGGTTTGTCTGGAGTATTTGCCAAATAAGGACCATACTTTGTTGAAGCGTCTCCGACATTCGCAGACCAATTACTAAGTACATCAGCTCACATGGTCGTTATTTATTTCCATGCCTGTTTGATTTAGCCTCTGAAATATAGATTTTATCATGATTTTTAAAAACATTTATTCCATTAGACAAAAGAAATGGTACAAAAAAATATGTATTAGAAGATTAAGTTATTTGTAACAACGGGACAGATGGGAAAACTTTTAGGAGATTTGGCCAGATCCTTAAAAATTTTTGGCAAGATTCTTCAAAAATGGGCCAAGAGTATAAAAAACGACGGTGATCGCCTAATAACAACAATATTTTTTCAGTGTGCATAGTCTTTAGAATAACGAAATTCGGCTGCATTCTACCACAATAGTTTATTTATTTTTCCTTTTTGCATAATTGGCCTTTTATTGTATGTTTTTATCAGTCAATAAACGTTCCGCTCGCTGGTTGGGTTCTGCCCACCCTTGCTTTATACGAGGCTCTTCACATGAAAAGTTTAAGGCCGGTTTGAAACTCACGCCGGCCTGAGTTCAGTTCGGGTGTGCTAGATTTCTTAGCTTTCAGGGTAAAGCAATTTAGTGTAAAAACAAGGTACAGTCAACTCAGAAATAGTTTTATAAAGAAGGGACGACATTGGAAGAAAACTGGACGCACAGAGAAATGATGACATATGTGTGGGATGGTGTACTGTTAGCAGGGGAATGGCTAGCGCACTTTAGAATGCCAACGGAAGACTCCGTGTATCTAGCAAAAATCTTGAGACCTTTGATTTTGCAAGTTCAGATCCCCCAAATTTGAAAATATTGTGTTCACAGGAATATTTCAAACCGGTTTGAAAAACCGAATTGAATCTCAGGGCAGCGTGAGTTTCAAGTCGCCCTTGTCATGTGAACACTTAAGGGATTTGACCAAACACCGAATTGAACTCAGACGGCATGAGTTTCAAACCAGCCTGAAATTTCTCATGCGAAGAGCATCAGACTACGACCACAATGTAGTATTTTCTTGTGCCTGATATGCTATTTCAACTGTTAACATTTGGTATCTCATTTCTCAAGACGCCAACTTTGCTATCCAAGGTCTCTTTTCAGTCCACTAAAACACGATACTCTTTCTCTTCTAATCGACACTGTCTTTGTAAGAACTACTTCAATGTCCATCACTCGTCACTAACCAGTCAATTCTCTTTCAGCATTAAGTACTGTAATTTGCGAATGAATTAAACTAAGATTTTCAATATTTGCAATATCATATATATAAAAGAAATGCTTACCGCAAAGGCGACAGGTTCTTTGGCAGTATTTGTATGTAAATTGTTTGCGGAGTAGGCATAGTTCAGGGTAGGCAAGAAACAGCATGCAACCTCGTTTTCGTCTGTCTTTGCACCGCTCTGAAATGAATTTACATTGAAGCTGACGTATCAATTGGAAATTATGATAAAAAGCTACGTTACCTCGTAGATGATTACTTAAAACTTGAGAAAGCCTACGGTTCTACGGTTCACAATCCAAATGTAAAGAAAGAAAATTACCCTGCAACTTCGAAATCTTTTTTAGGGTGGGTACATGATTTTCGGATTGGAAAATGTCGAATAGGGGAAGATACTTTCCGAGGGTATTCAGGCAAAAAGTTTACTTTCTTTGTTTTACCTTTCGTTTACAAAATTTGAAAATCAAGCATATTTTTCTATGTTCAACGAAGACTTTTGTAATAACAGAGGCTATTGTTTATAAAGCAAGTTTGATACGTAATTATGGTTAATGGCCATTTAAGGCTTCAATGATTATTTCCTTATGAAAAGTTATCTGCTAAGGCTGATATTATCTAAGGAAAACGATGCTGCCCGCCCGTTATTCCATATCGTCCCAGATTAAATTTGATTTCATAATTTATGCATGTTTTCCTTGGTTTTTTACATAGCGACTCGAATTCTTCAAAAATATATCTTGACCAAAATTATAACAATTGGGTGTTTTGTACAAGTTTATATTCGGACAGTTCTCGTCTGAAAGTTACTATAAAAAAAAATGTTGAGAAAAAAATTTCTAATGAGATGTCTCTTTCCACCTATTTTCCATTAATCAACTTGACATCCAGGTCTTACACCAGTTGAATCTTTGCTCAAAAGTAAATTATTCTTAGATTAACTTTGTTTAAGTACCTCTTCTAATTGCATGCTTAGGCCGCCTGCATTTGTAAAGCAGTAAAATTTGTTTAACATCAGTGCTGGTTAGGATTTTGCCTCCAAGGCTTTTTGCCGGATTGTCAATTGCCTGCATCGTGTCCTGATGGTTCTTAGTGAATGCTTTATTGTCATAGTGCATTATAGAATTGATGTCATACGGCATCGACAGTGTATCTATTCTTCCGTGGTGATAAGTTAGGAAATTCTTTTCAGCACCTACGATAAAAAGGTTTATTCATGATTGTTTACCTAGCGTCTTTACTGCGCCTAAAAAATGGAAATCTTAGCTGATTTATTGTTAGATTTTCTATTTAATAATAAGATGACGAAATGATGAGGACAAAGACACTTCTACACTTTAAAAAGGCTGAATACAAACCCTGTCTAAAAGTGCGATTAAAAATCCTAAGAATACAGTTATCAGTCCGGTATCAAGAAATGTGAATCTGCCGTCACTTGTTGTAACAGAGACACGAACGCGTGGATCGATTTTTTGATAGGGCCATAAAGGCAACGCCAAAACCAAAGCCCGGTTAAATGCATAAAATATGTGAAAGATAAGTACAGTGCACAGTAAATTTTGCATGTTCATCATGCCAAAAACAAAGGTAGTTACCGTTTCATACTTTTGTCAGTAAATGAACAAAGTCATTGTTTTGTATATAATCCGTTTTAGCTTTCAGCATAAGCAGGAAGCTAGTTTTCTGCGCCTCTTACTACCGTGAAAAAGTAGACAGCAACATTGGAAAATGGAATTTTCGTACATGTGTTGTACGTGGTATAACGGGAATCCGAGGAAAAAAAACTTAGATGAGGCGATGCCGATTTGCTCCTATTATATGTTGATGACTTTTTAAGAGTTTTTAGTCGCTTCTATCTAATCGGAAACAATGTAAGCATCATTGTGATAAATCAGCGTTTTCAATACCAACCTCTTAACTTTGTAATTCATATGAATGAACACAATTATTTTTAGACGCAGTCATACTTTTCCGATTTCATCTGTCTATGCCTGGAGGTGTCACAATTGTACTTGACGAATCTCACGTGCAATTCACAAGTGTTTTGATCAACTAGTGGAGATGCAACCCTAATGGAAGTGCACCCTATTAATTTTGCTGAATTTGTTTTATGCGCCTTCGACATTGTAATTTGCAACACTTATAAATAATTTTTTATAGTCTTATATGCTTCTAGTCTTGTAAAGCTTTTGTGCTTTTTACTCTATGCTTTTTGTCTTAGGAAAGCTGGCGTTATCGCCACATCTATCTTAGCAGATACGCTGGCCATTTAGAAACGACTTTTAAAAGAACGGTGATAGGTATAGAAGCTAGGTAAATTGCAAACCTTGCTGGATATTCCACCAAAGAACTTTTACAAACTGATCCCGATCGTATCTGCTGTTTTCGTGGAAAAAGCCCATAACATGCATTAATTCGTGCATAACGATAAACTTTTCTGCGCAGCCTGGGCCGATTGACACTATCTGTTCTCCACCTTGTCTGCCAATTTTAGAGGTGCATCTATAAAGTCATAATGAAATCATTAGGGGAGCATTAGCCTATTCCTTCTACATCTATAAAAAAACTATGATATTTAACTTATCTTCAATGAATAGTAGGTTGTCGGCAACAGATTAGTCAGTCTCGTTTCCAGTTATTAGTCTCGTTGCCAAAGACGTCGTCAACAGAGGCATGTGCCCCAGAACTTCTAGGAAAAGACACCTTTCATTGCAACCTTCTTTGATCTTATTGTCTTATGCAGATTCTACCTAAAGTCTGCTCTATTCAAAGGTGGCTTCTCTTCCAGTTACCTCCCAGATTCTTGAGACCTCTATTCGTGAAAATATATTCATGAAAATACGGAATACGGTTTTGGTGCACATCCAATTAGTTCTGTACTAGTGAAAATAGTGTATTACCCAAAGTATTTGTGATGTGCCAAGGTTCAGTTGAGACGTCCTATATTGTGTTGGTTACGCACGATGTATATTATAATGGTTTTCTAGCCATAAAACAAGTCAGTGACAGATGAAAACACGCATTAATTGACCAGCGTTGTTCATCTAACAAAAACCAAATAATGTGGATTGTCCTTTCTAATGTTTTGAAAAATGAATTCTTAGAACAACCTAATATTTCGAGTGTTCGTACTGACTCCATATAGAAACATGCAATTTACCCGGTGCCTGAAACAATGCGAATGTAGTCCTTTTCATTTTTCCTCGGAGTGAACCAAAGACACGTCCTTGTATGGAATTCATCGATGGCGTACATCAGAGCTTTTCTACCTGAAAATCCTGTAATTCAGAAAAAAATTCTGCAAAATGTGCCTTTTTATCAATGTGTCCTGAAAAGCTAAGCCTCTTTCAGTTATCGAAATGTCAGTCATCTTGTTTTTATGACTGACTAGCATTAGCAATAAATGGTAGTTTATTATAGTTTCTTCATTGCCAATCCATATGATTATTTGCAAGTGTCTACAATATTCTACATAGTCTACAAAAAAGTCTACAATATTCGAGTTCGCTAAATGTTTTGATTTAATTTAAACAAATAACAAATAACATAACAGATGAAAGGAGAAGTGCAGCAGAGTCGTATTTACGAAAAAACTTTTATGGAATCAAGATTTAGACCTTATTTTAAAAGACGTATCGGGTAAGCTCAATGAACTTTCTTACCTAAACTGGCATCAACAGCATATGGTACAATGGCATCTCTCCATCTTTTCTGATGGTATTTGACTGCATCTCTTTTGTTGCGTCCGCCATTTCCGGAAGCAGCTTCAATTACTGCCTCCAGATTCCTATCCATAATAATATCTTTCTCGATGATACTTTCTTGGCCTATTTAGAAAAGGGTAAAAGCTTTCATTTTTATGTGAAGCAAACCCCACGATGAGAGATAAGCAGAATCTCAATAACAACTTTTTTAAAAATGCTCCAGTTATCAAACATCGTCTTTGTGGAATTTTTATTATTGTGTGAAAGAGGTTTGTCAATCATCATATTTAATTCATCGTTATAAGGCAAAAGGCAAAGGCGGATTGAAAATTATAGATATGCGTAGAAATTCAACTACTCCCATAGCAGCCTGCACCCGAGCGAACAATCAGAATTTATCTTTCAGTTTCTTGCACACGCCTTTTTTCAAACATTTCAAAACATCTCTACTTCTTAAAGATTTTCGACAGGCAGTCTCGCTAATTTCTGCAAAGTCTACTTCTTCTGCGTTTTTATGTTTTTTCAGTCTCGCCTTCTCTTTATCAAAGATAACAGTCTTAAAGATATTTTCCTCAGGCGGAACCTGATTTATGGTTAAGGCACAGTGTGACAAATCGTGTCATAAACAAACTCTCAAATATTTGCGATTATTCATGCATTTTGTTATTCTAAAGTTTTTTGTTGTACCTTGTTTTCACTAATAATTTATGCGACATATTTAGACAGAAGAATTTCAAAAATCTTGTTTTTAGTTTATTTGTAATTTCGATCAGCAGATTTTCTAAGCTTTTAATTTTCTGGTGTTAACTATTGCAGAGCTCTGATTAGCAGAAGTATGGTTAATCCTATATTAATCCATGCTAACTAATAATGAAAGTTCTGTCATTAATTTGTTAAGAACATTCTCCAAAAATTAGCCAAAATTGTGGTCAATAATACCCTTATTCAATGTTTGTAAGAACTATTAGACTTCACAGAAAATACTGCTGGTTGCCATAATGTTTGACTTTTGATCTTGACAATTTTGTCAGGGTGTGGACATTTTTCTGTCAGCCATTTATATCAGGTTTGGTGGTCAGGTCATAGTTACAGAATAACATTGCTTGATTACGTTTATTGAAAACATCTTATTTTTATGCTGTTTTCTAGAAGGTTTCTTTAAATTTTCCGAAAAAGTACAGTCTTTATGATTACTGACTCAATTTCTTGTAAGTCACAAGCCCGAAGAAATCAATCAAAAATGTTTATAAGACCAATATGGTTAAACTAAGAAGTATAAGACCCTTTATTCTTGGTACCAAAGCCTCTAAAGAATCGAGTCGAACAATTCTATATTAAGGCGTAGAAAAGAAACAAAAGCAACGGACAGATGTTGAATAACAGATGGAACATAGAGTGAAAAAAGGGGAAAGGAGAAAAGGAATAGAAATTACCACATGGTTCCACCCCAATCTCAGAGAATGACTAGCGGAATTATCTTGAATAGGAAAGAAAAACAATTGACTTGAGGGTGTATATAGATGAGCCAGAAACTCCTTTAGCTATTTCAATGCTTTAACTTGGTATGGCCGTTTCTTATGAGCACCCTACGTAATCCTTCATCAAGGACCACGGTTGCTAACAGAAAAAGATGAATATGAAAGGAATGTATTTTACAAAATGTAGCCATCGACATAGAGTATTAATTGCAGCGTTGTTATGTTTATGGAAACATCAAGGTTGAAGGACATGATGGACAGGATTAGGCGTTGCGATGGAGGGGGTAGGTCCGGTGCGTTGGGAGAAGAGAGAGGGGTGGGGTCCCTAAATTTTGTATGGGATGGTTAGGGTGGGATTGAGTAGGGTTGGGTGTGGTTATAAAGGAGAAGGATTGAATAAACTGACAGTTTTATTTAAAAAAGATTGACTTGTGGAAACACTTTACGCTTTGACTTTTCAAAATAGTACTCCAACTTAAGATCTTTTTTATTCCATATTTTATTTTTAAACTGTGTTCAACTTCTGGCGTTTGAAAGTTTATTTTAAAATATTGCAAGAACTTTCAAACTTCGTCTCAAATTCAAGCCAAAACCATGAAGTATAACGATAATAACAAATTCATGAATATTGCCTGGGATTTTTTTTGGTTCTTATTCGACAAAGGCTCAAAATAAACGTTTTTAATGCACTAGATCCATTTTCCGGTCATTCCTAAAATGTCAAATTTTCAAATTTTTTTAAGCAAACCCCTGAACTCTTTTTGCAAATTCCAACCGACCCTAAATTCCTCCCTCTCCCTCCCCCCCAAAAAATTGTTATGCTGCTAAATGATAAGTTATACTAAAGAATGGCCATATTGCCACCAAAATATTGCCTTCAAATCTTTATCGAAAAAAGGCCTGTAAATTTCCTTTGCTGCATAATGAATTTTAGGTACATTGTTTTCAATATCTTTCTATAATGGAGCTCTCCAATTGTATGTTCAGCCAAATGTGCGAAATATGAATCTTTTAAGCCCATAAAAGTCGATTTCTAGAGAAGGAATATCATTCCAGTCAGAACCCGGTCAAAAAGAGAGTCCAAGCTGCCGCAGTTGTTATTTTTGATGTAAATGTCCCTTTACACAAAAAAGGCGTTTCTATGAATATTGATAAAGTAATGTGAAGAAGAAACCGAATCAAAATTCAAGTAGCCTATGACGTAAAGATAAAATCAAAAAAAAAATTTAAAGAAAGAGAATTATTGCAACAGAAGTTCTAAATACATATTCTCCTCAACTGCCTCAAATGAATTCCTTTATATTCTACTTGGCAATGTAGGGGCTAATAAAAATATGCTCGCTATTAGAGCCAATAATCGTAATAGACAAGTTCCGGTTCTTGTTAGATTTAACGAGTAACTGCCACACCTATCGTGTAAAGTGTCACACTTTGCTTCATAACTGAAGCATTTTTAAATTTATTGAGTTTTTACAGATTTCTACATATGAGAAAAATTGCTGACATTTGGCATGCCGGCGTAAGACGTTTTGGGTACTAAACTTGAAGATCTCTTCTCTGCAACCTTCTTTCTATCATAAGCTGTAGGATCACTACAATTTCTGGACCTTTCCCTGTTCTTGATCGTTTTAATAGTGAATTTGAACTGATTACGTAGCTTTTGCTAACTTTTCTAAAGGTTCTTTCCATGCAAACTTTAGAGTTTTAGCAAGATGCTTAAGGAATCGTTGTTCGGTTATGGATTTGTTTCGTTTTGCTTCAGTTCGTTTACATTATCAATACCTTAAGGAATTTCTACTGCAAGGGATAACTCAGGGAAGAAATGTTTCTTTGGACACAAAGTGGTGGCAGAAGAATGCCACTGACCTTATCCTTAGGTAAAATATACAGCCATAGTTTTGTACGCTATAATTAAAATAAACTCACTTCCTTGAACCTTGAATTGCTATTTTTGCCTCAGTGCTGTAGGAAATGGATGCCCTGAGGGTACGTGCCCGTTCTGAGGAGTGCCCATTCTTTTTTCTATTTGATGTAAAATGCTGCCCCTTCTTTGTCCTGCTACCACTTTTCAAGACGCTCTTACGCCCTTTCCTCGTTACGAAACTGATCGCCAGCCCCCTCCCCATCTCGAGCACTGAAATGATAACGATCGCTCGATAAATGAATTCATAAAATGAGCATACAGTAGGCTGTAAGAAGTTCAACCTATAAAGAACACAACTCATCGTTTCAATCGTCAATATTAGCGGCATACTTTTGCAGAAAGAACGACTTTTATTTTGACTCGTTTGGTTTTGATTGCTGTATACACACATATGTTATTTTGTTGATGTACAGATGCTCGCTTGTTTGTTTGCAAAAAGCAATGATAATATTTATTTGCTCTATTATTTATGTTATATGTTTCTCATTTTTTACTTGTGCTGTAATCTTCTTTATTTCTTGTTTCGAAACTCCAAGGTTTTCACTTGAGAACTGCACACATTCCAGTTACGCATCCTGTTTGGAACTGCTCGTTGATAAAAGAGTCTGGTTTACAGTTATTACGGTTTTCCAAAAACCGTAGCTTACATTCAAGCTTTGAAAATATGTAGAGAAACGACATGCTTGCCAGCAGATTGATACTTTGAGCCCTTCAATTATTTTTTCTCAATTTGGCTCTTTACCTATATACATTGATTCGTTCCCACATTTGACTTTGACAGAAGAACTCTGGATACACACAGTTAAATGTCTGGAGGCATGGGTAAGAATAAGGGGAGTGACGCAACCAACTTTCGAATCAATCAGGTACCTCAATGCAAAGCAATACTGTGTGGATTTTGGGAAACAGAAATTTGAAAGAGGGTAAAGCCAAGATACTCTAAATAGCTTCTTTTCAAATGCGGTTTCGCTTAATTTGCGTTACGATTCAACAATTTTTGGCGTCACTTTGATGTTCATACTGCTGAAAAATTTGACAAGATTGAATCATAACTAATCTTGCTTCAGTTTTATTATCTAATGTGCGAAAGAGAGTAATTTTTGAGCCGGTGCTAAACAACTACTGTTTTTTAGCAAAACGCTCCATTTTAGGCCCATTCCATTCGGATGATGTAGTAGAAAATATGTTAGACGGTTGTCTGCAAAGTTTGTTAAATATGATACGATTTTCTTAACCATTATTGTTATTTTTTATTAAAATTTAACTGCTACTAGAAAATGCATTTCTCCTGAAATTATCTTGTCTTATATTTCTAGTATTTTGTAAAAGACTAGTCTAATTTTAACATCAATAAGGAATTGGTTTAAAAACGAACAAACCTTTTGATTTTCCATCCAGAATGTAACAGATCGTATTTTCTGTTACAAGAATGAATAGAACCAGCAATTTTGTTTTTTCAATGTTTACCAGTGCCATCTGCAATTGCTAAACTCTATGCTGTCGAATAGAGGATCTTCTTTCTAGTCAAGCACAAAGTTTGCCACAGCTGAACCTCTGCAAGCTATGATAAGGCTTCTGCTTTATATTCTTTTCACAGTCCCTTGCCACGCTTGGATGACGAAACCAGTCTGATTTTCTGTTTGGTCGTCTCTCGACCGCAGAGGGTCGTCAGTACGGAAACATAATATGTGTTCTTGTCCACATAACGTTTTATGGTGTCAATCTAGCTATCTTGCTTATCCATGGAATAATCGCAGTGTTGTCTGTTGATTATTCATATTGAGCCTCTTTTTTAGAGTTTTAAGGTAACGTGGCCAAAATGGGATGGCTATATCAATGGTCAATTTATCTCAAATCCAACAATCTGTCAAAGCCAAATCGTAATTATGAATCGATTATTTTAATTTGTGTAACGGTTGTACTTGTCAATGCCCATTGAATCGAGTTTCACTAATGTTTGAGTTTCGATTGAAATAACCATTTATATTTTTCTGTTCGTTGCTTGAATTCGTCTATGATATACTCTGCATTCTTGCTGACTGACTTAGAGTTCCGGTACATGCCTAATCAATATATTTTTACGAGTGTTATATATCGACCAACAAAATTCCGTTTATTAGCTGTCGTCTAAATTTCAGTGAAATCATATTGTTGATGAATTAAAGGTTGGTTACGGAGAAAAAGTAAGAATCAAGGGTCATTAGCACATAAAGTTACTATAGAAATTTTGCATTTCTTCTATGATACATGACTTTTTTCTAATGTTGGAAACACTTTGCGTTTTAGAATTTCCCAACACCACACTGTCAATTGTATCTTAAACTAAACTGTAAACGTTTTATTCTTGCGTCAATTGACCTTGATGCCTTGGTTTTGCCTGCCTATTGTTAGTGACAATGATGCATAGAAATTATATCTTAAAGCGACAATTTTCTTTTTACCCTTCTTGTGTTTAAACGATTTCATCCAGCTGTTTTGCTTGCTTAGTGCTTGTCATGTACTGGTTCTTAATTTGTATAATTCGCAGCCAAAATGATACTTTTTGCTCACAGCAAATTTTGCCGTTGTCTGTTGATTCGCCACAAAATGCTATAATATTGGCAAACTGAAGGCCACTGGTACCGTGACCCTGCAAAAAGACTAGCAAGTATATGCATCAACGAAGACTTCTACTAACCATTCTCATACACAGTTACACAAACTCTCTCCTTCGGAAAGACACCTCGATCGAGTGTACGCATGTGCGTATGTCAGATGTTATAAGTATGTTTTAATATGATCTTTTCTTGTACCATTGGAAGCTTTCAAAAAGCATTCTTTTTAAGACGTTTTAGGAGAAACCTGTTGATCTGCTTTATGAAATTTTGTATCTTTGTCCTTTTATGGATCCTGTTTGAGTCGAATTTTACGAACCCAGACTTATCACAAACCCTGAGCAGTAGTATTCTGTTCCGTAAATGCAACTGTTTTTGCAATAATGAATTATTTAGAATTGATGGCTTTTCTTTAGATACTCAATCCTTTTATCTTGTAATAAAAACATTTGACATGGTCACTCTTTCAAAATTCCAGTTCGGCGAAAAAGGCTACAGAAACTGAAAGTTTGATAGAAGTGTGTAGCAATGTACCGTCGAGAAGGCGGGTGTAACTCAGTGAAACAGGCGTGTACCTCAAAAATGTGGAGAGGGAATATTTACGCTTTTCTGAATTTGGGTGATTTTGCAAAATGTATTTTAGGGTTGACCAATTTTTTAAAATTTTGTGGAACAAAGTTGAAAATGCAAAAGTAAATCGATTGTTCAAACAGTTTCTTCCTTTAATGTTTTTTAAGAGAAGAGTACCCCTTCACCTTACTTTTTGCAGTGCTATCCGCTGCTAGAAATTTCAGCTCCAACCTATTTTTGCAAGAACAGCATATCAAAAATGCTGCTGTCTACCGATTTTAAAGGTTATGCTGCAATCAATGCAGAGGTTATTCGGAATGATATATTTGCCGAGATTTTGCATTTTTTCACTCAAACAGTCCAATGACTTTGACCAGAATTTGCTTGCATTTAAAATCCTCCTGCTTTTGCAATATGACCTATCGTACTTGTCAGCTGATGAAAACAAAGTTTCAACCAACTCCTCAACCTTAATTTATTTAATTTAAACGAAATTAATTTAATTTTTCTTGACTCCCCTATTACGACTGAAGATAATAAATCTATTTTTTATTCAGTTTCACTTCATATCTTAAATCTGGGACTGTTTTTTTCAGGTAGTGTATCCCGTGAATGCAAAGCCTATCCTTTACAACAGCTTCCCAAGTCATTGTATCTAATTAACTTTTCACCTAATCCTAAACATTAGGCTTGGTATTTCGCTCACCAATTCTATTTTCAATGCAAAGCTTTTGATATGTCTCTGATGTTCCATTCTCTGCGAAAAGAAGTTTGCTTATGTCATGACAATATTGTGACACCTTTGAAAAGAGTATTCACGTTTTTATCTGATTTTTATCTTTCTCTGTTCGTTTGATTTTTCTAAGTGGATTGCTTGTCTGATCTCTGTTCTTTGAAAAAGATAAAACAATAGTATAATTGAAAATGCAATCTTCGCAAAATCGATCAGCTTCTGTAATCAATTTGAATCCGAATGTATCTTTGGCAAAGCCGATTTATTATTAATTAGTTATTATATTGAAGCTGAAGAGCGCCTTAAAGTATTGAGAGATAAATTTAGTATGGCATTGAGTAGGCTCCGGCTGACAGACGGGCTTTTTTGTCATTGTCCATTCACAAGGCATTGTTTGTTTTTTTTATGGTCATTGAAACGTTGGCACAAACTTTAGGGCGCGAATTGTTTTTTTCAAGATGGCTAAGGCCAAACACAAGTTTCTTAATATTCTATTTTCTTTGACATTAGTCTTCAAAGTCATTTGGTTTTTATTTCCTATTTTTATTTCATATTCGTTGACTGTCGTTTTCTCTGGTTCAATAAAGGTCTGCGCTTGGTGCATTGCATTTTAATAATGATCTATATAAATTATAAATCATATGTGTCTTCCTTCACAGTTTTTAGCATGCCTATGAAAATTCAAGCCCTTTTCAACAACCAATTGTAGTCCTTGATACATTTAATTTTTTTAGACGTAATTCTCACCTACACTTTGCTTTGTCTGCGAAATATCATCATTTTAATTTATTTGGCGTAAACGACAAAGCTGAACGTTTTTGTATTCTTTTTTCTTCCATGGAACTTTAGTTTGATTATTTGTTTAATCGTTAAACTGTTTTGAAAGAAAAAAATTGGAAATTTTTGTTTGATTTCTTTAATTTTGTTTCTTTAATTACTTCAAAGCTGATTCTAAGAAATCTCATTTTCTAAACAAGACCCCAATATTGCCCACAGAATGTTACCTGTCTACTTCTGCCTCTGCTCTTCTCTGATGTTATAAATATGTTTTAACGTAATCTTTTCTGGTACCATTTGTAGCCTTCAAAAAGCATTCTTTTTAAGACGTTTCAGGAGAAGCCTGTTGATCTGCTTTACGAAATCTAGTATCTTTGTCCATTTATGGATCCTGTTTGAGTTGAATTTTACGAACCCAAACAAATCACAAACCCTAGAGGCTTCTGCTCAGTTTAACGATAAATGTTGTGGTTCAAGGCAAGGTTGTAAGCACACTAATTCTCAGATTATTTGCCGCATCTCAGATTATTTGCCGTTGTAAGCCCATCTCAGATTATTTGCCGTTGTAAGCCCATCTCAGATTATTTGCCGCAGTATTATCAGCTCGTTGTTGATCCACTATTCCTTAGAAGAAGAAAAAACAATATCAAATGAGTAAGATTGTGAAGATCTGGTTGTGTGAGAGCGGATCTCACAGTATCTTTATCTCTTTCCTATGAGCGAATCTTCCATACAACGAAGTCTGAAAAAATATATGCATGAAATCCTGATTTTTACCAGATAAAACCAAAAGCTGAATCTAGTATGGTTGTTATAACGGTCCGTTGGTGTTGTTATCAGTATTGAGTCAATGTTATTTTTGTTAAAACGCAACCCACTGTGCTGATAAAATAGATAAAACGCAAATTGGTATTATTATTTAAAAATCAACCCTTTCAAAATATAATTTGTGTAAAAGTCAAGAGATAATCGTAGGGTATAACAGAGAATTCATTCACGTTCCTGTTTCGTAATTCTTTATTATTCTTTAAAATTGATCTTTTAAATTCGCTAAATCCAAAATTATGAAGAAGGCATACAAAAAATTATCAGTACACCAATGACAAATATAACTGTATATTATCAATGCCACTGGAAACTGAATATTATCAATGACTAACAGTAGCCTTTTTACACTCTGCTCCTTTAACGCCAGCTTGCTACGTGTTTAGAAATTGATTCAATAACTGATTGGCTTGGCATTGGAATTTCTACTATGAACCAAATTTGATTTGTTCTTTAGAAATCGGCAAAACTAAAATAAATCACGACACAGCTTTACTTGTAAAAACCTAGGCAAATTTGGTTTGTTCTCATTTGTTTTTTTCAAAGTAGCTTCTATCCAATAAATTTGGCTTATAAGTAACTTATAATTTGGCTCTGAATACATATAAGACTTGCAGCATCGAAAGAAAAGATTGTTTTGCTTTATTAATATAGTATATCACTGCCCTAATAATTATATACTAGGTATAAACAAAATAAAAGTTCAAGAAAGGGCGAGCTTTCTTTCCCGCTATTCATTTCTATCCCCGCGGCTGTTAAATTATATTTTAATACCATTCAAAAGAATTTTTTAAGTAGTCAAAGCTATGAAGGTTGGCTTATATTGACTATATACTATTTTCTGAACAAAAAGGGTGTTTTGAGCTTGCTTCAGAATAACGCAAGCAGAAGCCGTATTGATATATTCTGGGATATATTTATTGCGGTGATGTAGCATCCGAGTATTCAAGGTATTCAGTATATACCCTAAGGTATAAACATTATACCATGTAAAATTGTAATAACTTAAAAATGGTTAGGTGGCTATTGGTTCTGGCTGAATTAGTTGCCTTCGATATGTTGCACTTCGTAAAAGTTCAAACTATCACAAAATTCATTGCAAAGTAAAGCAGCAATAACGCTGCGAAAACTAGGGACGCTTGGAGATCTTTGAAGCTAATGTCGGTCATGAATATGCAGTGAATACCTTAGATGGTACTCCAACCATTCAAATGATGGAATAGTATTACGTGACGAAATAAAGTAACTGCAGACAGGCTTGAATAAATTCCTTACAGTTGCCTGGTGCATTCACGTCTATCATGATTTGGCCATGGAGAAAAAAGTCTAGACTGCATACCACAAAGTGTTTGTAATTCATATAATGCCCCATGGATGGCACCAGAGGGGGGCTGGGGTGCATACCACTCTTTGAAAAAAGCTTTTTTAAGAAAATAAAAAGAATAAAAGAAAAGAAAAGCAAGAAAAGAAAAGTGCGATAAATCCTGTTATTGTTTAATTTCCAAGGAATAAGATGTCTAGGGGGCTTTATAAAGTAATGAATTCCATTTTAAGACTGGAATTAATCAAACGTACTAAAAGCATGCCTCAAAAATAGCAAAATGTTTTAAATTATTACATTGCAAGACATTTCGCTTTCTAAAGGGTGTGGTCGCAAAAATTTTCTGCTCGCTTCGCCCCTGTGCCCTCGGTGAATAATATCGAAATTTTCTAACGGCCTTTCGCATTAAAGTATCAAGAGTAGGTGTTTACTGTCATTTCCTCTTTACGTCAGTACATATTTTAGGGAATTCAACAACAGTGACATTTTTCGACCAGTATATTTCTACAGATTTTTCATGAGTGGTTGTGATTAAAATTACTCTTTTATTAAAATTGTAAGCAGTAATTTGATGAAATCGACGAGTTCAAAACAATCTATTTGTATTGGGTTCTGGAAGTATCGTTTTCATCATAGTATTGCCCTTTCAATGCAGTTCTATCGCACTGATATAAATAAATTAAATAATAAGTCATCGACTAGTCCTTTAAATTTTTCTAACCTGTTCCAACCAAGCCCAAACCAGCCACACCTTGCTCCACCTTTACTTTACAAGAGAAAACTCAGCTGAGAAAGTCACGCTACGCCACTGATTCTTCGTACATTGAATCACTGTGACAAGTGTTACTTGCCAAAGTCAACTTTAAATACTCAATGAACTTTTTTTAAGTTAAAAGAAAGAGACAAATTTCGGAACAATTTTGTCCTCTGCCTTAGAATGTCGTAATTTTGCTTGATTGAAGGACAAAAAGGTGTCGAGCAAAAAAGGGACTGACTTTAGTGTTTGTACGTTCCTCTCCGAAGAGGAACGTTTTGTTGATTTGTTTGAAACGCTGAAGATACATTTCTGATATTTGTATTTAGAATCTTAAAATGCCTTGCTATGGATTGAAAAATTTTGAGTATAAAGTTCTAAACAGTTACGTGCTTTGATGGCGGTTCGGTGAAATGTTGTTACTGATGAGTAATGTAAATGAACTACAGACTATAATAATCCCTTTCAACTTGATCAGATTTGTACCTACAATACCTAAAGAGCATTTGTTCCCATACAATAGATGCTCTTGTAAGAATCTGATGATTGTTTCATTATCATGTCGTCGCAAAAGACATCCTATCTGCTACTTGTCTAAAGTGCTAGTACTAGAGGCGTTATCTAGCTCGGTTTAAATTTTCTTTGATTATCAAGAATCGATTGTTTCAGTTCTGAGAGGAGTTGCCCACTAAACCAGTTATGTCACTGACGAAAGAGATATCATTCCCATCCCGCCTAATATCAACGACTAAATAGACTGTTTGTTTTCCAGGTCCTCCATATGTCTGGACTTGCGATTAAGTTTCAAAAGTGGTGAGTACTGATTTGATAGCTTGACAAAAGTCTTTATCAGCATTTAAGGGCCACGATTCAACTCTCACTTTTAGCGTCTTTGAAAAGTTTAGTAACTAAACACGGAGATTCCCGTTACAAACTTTCCTGAATTCATCAGAAATATAGATCTTAGTTTACCACAGCAATGTGTACAACATGCCAAGCGTTGTTGGTTCACGTCCAAGGGTTCAATGTCTCCTTTGAAATTTAACGCTTTGTTATTTTAATGTCACTTTCGATATATTGTACCAGCATATATTCCCATTGGCACACATTGCTTGATAATCATAATGATTGGGCTTGACCTTTCAACTCGCACCGCCTTCTTTACTTGACTTAAACTCGTTGGTATTTCGCTTTTTTCGAAGTAATTGATCAGAGAATCTTGGATTTTAATATTTAAGTCATTAAGACTATAAAGATTATTATGAATAATGCTAGGAAGGTAGATCAGCTTTTAAAGGAGGTGTGCATACTTACAATCATACTTACCAGCGAATTGGAAACATTTTTCTTTCCTTTGGCGGCAACCATGGGGTCGCAAAATGAACGAAAAAGAATGAAAGGAACTATTTCAAGAAGAAGGAGAGAGGAAATATTTTGTTTGTATCATCAATTTATTCAAAACGTTTAAAGGCCTGAATATATTTTAGCGTTGCAGCGAGAATTCAATTCGAGTGGTAATTCTTCATAGCCATAGAGGATGATATTTAGCAGATCTTCACTTGAAGGATTCATTAGACCACGAGGCGACAATATGGCATTTACACTGTTGAGGAGATCACGCCTATCTACGTTATAATTTTGGCAGAGCAGGAAACAGTGCTCCGATTCCTCAACACCGTCATTTTTGGGGCACATAGAAAAATAAGAACAACAAAAGAAACAAAGAAAAAAATATGTTTTTATACTGAAATCCCTGAATGATTATGACTAGAATTATGAATGATTGCTTGTGATTCTTAGCTCGGTACCTTTGCATTGTTCAAATCTTAGGTCTACCGATTTTTCAGAACCTGATTATTTGCATTCCTCGAAAAAAAGAATCCAGGCCGTACAGTTTGTGACTGTTTGTGATAAGATGGTCAGTAAAGCATTTTTATTTCGTGATCCATGCATATTTCACATCACTTATCCTACTTTTTGCCATTTGTAAATCAATGTATTGGCACGAGATGAAATTCTTCCTTCTTTCTTTGACCAGCAATTTGGTCATGGATTATGACTGTGAACATAAATGCTGTTCCAGTACCGGTTTGTGTAACTCCAGCCGATAAGTGGAAACTTTCGTTGGTGACAAGGAAGTAACATGAATCGAGGCAGGATTTGAATTGTCATCGACCTGAATTATGAGGTATGCGGATATTTATGCTTTCTTGAAAAGCGCCATATAGTCTGGTAGCTCTTCAGTGTTGATTGTCAAGGCGATTCTCCAGTAGAAAGTATGTTCTGAAGGAACCGCAAACTCCTTGTATCAAGCTATAAATCAGATTTCCTTTAACTTCGTGAGAGTCTTACATAAATGGAGATATCATTTTCAACTCAACTTGCTATCTGGTGCACAGGTAATAGCTAAGACGGCGGTTTTTAAACGGTTGCGATTCAAGGTTTAATGTCATTTTCCATGCACTTGTGTTATTCAGTTCTCGTATTTACCAATAAAAGCAACAGGATGAAGCAGCTACGTTTTATGATGTTTTATAACTTCTCTCTTATCATAAAACTGCTGGGCGCTTTTATTTTACAGCTAATTTGAGGCAAACTTTACCCATTTTAGCTACGTTATGTAAAGCAGCATCGTAGACACATCCTTTTGCTTTTTGCAGTTCAGTACAGCAATTTTATTAGAAGTATGGTTCGTAGAATATCGTTGTAACTTCATTGAGCTTAGGATGTGCTGAAACAATCTGAGGAAACGATTCTCTAAAAACGCATCAAATCATTGGACTTATAATCATATATTTGAAATCATTAAAAGATACTTCCCACTGAAGATACAAAAAGGCGTATCGAAAATAAGGCTTCGTAAGTTTACTTTGCATACTTAAACAAAGACTGCTTTAGAAAAAAACGATGCACGTTTTTGTAAGGCATTTTTGCTTTGAAACTTTCGAAAAAAGCTAACATGATACGGCGGCCTATTCTTCCAGGCACAATTTTCGACTCTGAGTTTAAATTCTTCCTACTTGAATCTTTAGGCCTTTTTATGACTGCTCCATTGCAATATCGAAATATCTTTACTTTCTTGCTTTTGAGCGTGTTGTCATCGTATTTTCATTTCTCTCAATATTTCTTCCCTTTTCCGGCATAAAATCTCCATCTGAGTCCTCTATATCAGTCATTATATCACTATCTGAATCAATATCTGAAAAAATTTCCGACTTTATACTTCCCTTAGCCCGAGATTTCCTTCTTGTACTGCTTCTTGGACCTCGCACTTTGACTATTGATCTCTCTGCCTCTTCCTACGTTGATTTCGTTTCGGAGCATTTTGAGACAGTTCAGACGAATGGTTGCTTGAAAAGTTGCATTCATCACTATCAGAAAAAAGAACATCCGAATCACTTGAATCAGGACGCCCCACCTTGCTATTGCGTTTGCAATTAACCATGCTTCTGTTGCGTAATGATTTTCCTTTCGTGCCCGAGGGCCCTTTCGGATTTGGGCTTTCTGGGGCTGTGTAGAACTGGTCACTCGAGTCTTCTTCTAAATCTTTTTCATTTGAATAAACACCATCGTTCCTGCACATCTTCATTGGTTTCGTCTTTGGCTTCTTTGAATCCTTTTTTCTTCTAGAGGATAACGGCGTCTTTGAGGCAGCGCTAAAGCCTATATCTTCGCTTTCTAGTTTATTGCAGTTTGGTTGGCTGGAGGACAAAATTTCGTCATCGATGTTCATAAAAAAATCATCGTCAGCATCATTCGAAAAGAATGACTCTGGCTCAATTGTATTGTTTTCTAGAAAAAAGTCATCGTCTTCAAGGAGCCCGTAGTCCTCAGTGTCCGGTTTTCCCAAGCCAAAATCTTGTAGTTTTTCAGTCAAATGAAATCTGGAATAACAAGGAGGATTATCAAAAAGATATCACCGCAAATTAATGTGAATAGAGTAGTTTAAATGTTTTCAATTCTTCAATTCACTTCTGTCGCAACCAGTATGCTTTGCGGTAGCTGTCTCTTTACGCGAGGAGAAATGAGCCGTGTTTTCTATTTTCACACAGTACGAGATTAGGCCGGTTTTGGCAATATATTCGCAAAGCATGCCTGTTGCAGAAAAGTCTTTGACAATTTTTCTTATAGGAAAAAGTTTTTTCCAATGTTCGAATGTTCTTATTGCCAATGACAACCGCTTAGCACGCGCTTGTGTGTTCTGGTATTGCTGATATAGGAAATTAAAAATAATAGCAGTTCAAACACACAATATTTTATGAAATCTGCTTTTTCTAACATAATTTGCCAGTTCACTGTAGCTCTTAGTCCAGTATTTAACAGCCTATATTCAACAGTTCGTCCTTCATATTTGTTGTCATTCATAACCTCTCGAGAAATCTATCAAGACACTACGCTCAATACATGTTTGTCTACTACAAAGATTTTGTTAAGACTGTATAAGAATAATCAATGAATGGAGATCTTGGTAACAAACAATTGAATATAAGGGTGTCTATAGTTTCTTTGAATTTAAAAAAAAAGGCCTTTAAAACAAGACGTCTTCTTGTAGGAAATCTATCTGTTTGCATTTTCGTCAACTGGATTGTTTGTGACTCATTATATGTTTATTTCAAGCTTCCATTCGTGAGAGCAAATTCTTGTCGATTTTAAAAATAGATTACTCAAATGCAAAGAAAGCATCAATGGGTCATAAATCCAGATCATATCTTTTGAATTTGAAAATACTTTCAGCGACACAATTAAAACAGATTTTATATTAAGGTTTCCAATAAAAGTGATCTGTTTTAACGATGGTCGATAAACATTTCAATGGCCTTTTACAAAAACCTTAGTAAGATTACAAATATTTCAACACTTTAGTAACCGAATACACGGCAGGCATGCACATTGCTCATCAAAATCAGCGAAGGCCCACCTCTGAATGTCTTATCTTCTGGGAAGATTAACCACGCGATCCGAGCTGTAACCATAATGTCGCCACGGAGAGTTTCTAGTATGGCTCCTTGTGACGACTAATAAAGACTTAATTGTTTACAGATTCAAATATTAGTTATGAGCTAGAATGAACAGCTTTGTAGATCTAAGACAGGCATGTACAAAGTTCGGTCAGTAGGAAAAGCAATGTTCGAGGTCAAATCTTATACAGCCCTTCCCTTCTACCTTAGAGCGAAAGGGAACCTTCTTATACTTCCCTTCTTGAGGTAGCAGAGCCATAAAAATTTCCGCAAATACAGCAAATTCCATCATTTTTCTAGCGCAATGCTAGATGAATAATCTTTTTTAACAAGTGGATCAAAATTGTTAATACTGTGGCCAAAACTTTCGTTATATCACAGGATTTCAATCTGAATGAGTTTATTGAACATTTAGCATGGAAAGTTATAGACAAAATTTTAAAAAAGGAATGTTGCAATCAAATGCGCACAGAAATATAGTGTAGCAGTAAAAATTAGACGTAACATTTTAATTTGCCAAAAATAAGACTTTTTTCTAGGTTTCACTTAAAAAGTGTGGGCAGATATATTCTGTCAATAACTTAAACAAAAACCGCTTAAGACGAAAGTTAAATTTCTTCCACACATACAAAAATCAACGCACATCAAACGTAGTTCTAAAGGAAGACCAGGTCCGAGTACTGGAATCGAAATCCTAGCATCACGCGTCATTTTCATAAGTGTCACTATTTCTGATAGACCAGGTTTTTCCGATCAAAGTTTCAACTAAGTTTAGAGAATATCGGTTACAAGAACTACGAGCCGATTACAAGGATTTGTTTTTACACTTGTATTTGCAGCGAATATATTCTTTTTTGAAAACACCAAATCGAACATACTGGCGTCTTCCACGGGTTTTAACCCGTTTCTAAATATTTAACTTTGATCAGGCCTTCTTTTGACGGTATCCGGCTTTTCAGCTGTTAATTGTCAGATACCGTTATATAAAAAAGAGAAGAAGTCGCCATTTGTTCACATCTGAATGCTTGCATTTTCTTATATTACTTTTTTATAAACAGCATTTGCTGTGTCCTTGTCAACAAAATTGCCAAATAAAAGAAGATTCAAAAACTGTCCGCAAGAACTTACTTTCGGCCCCTGGACATGATTAAATCTTTAAAAAAACAACCCTTTATATCATAGTTGGATAAGGTACTGCTAGGAAAGTCGCCTGGATACACAATTAAAGTTGCAGAGTGATCGTGATCCTTGGCGGACAAAGACTGACGTAAACTTCAACTTAGAACGATTTACCTAATAGTCTTAGGTGCTTAATCAAGGGAGGTCTTAACAGTTTGGCGTGTAGGTGGAAATTTTTTAGCAGTCAATAAGCGGTGGGGTCTTAATAAACAGGGGGGGGGGGTGGGTGGGAAACTAGTTTAGGAATACACTACAATGACTTTCTTTTGAACACAAACCGTACAAAACCATGCTTCTACTGAATATGCACAAAAATCACAACTGGACATTGTTTTGCCAAAATTATTAAACGGGGGGTTAGAAAATTTTTTGAAAATTAACAAGCGTCCCCCCTTGTATTAAGCACCCAAGAGTAGATAGTTTATCTAGTTCCAGACTAGTTTGAATACCCCGTTATAATATACGATACAGTGTAGAATCATGCAAGGATATTGTGTTCTATCAAACACAATGTTGTATTTTAAGCAGCTTTCTGTTCAGTGCGCTTTTCTGGCTTTAGTGATGCAAAAGTATTACGAGCCTCGATATATTACACTGGTATACCTAATGTATTCAAAAATACTGAAAAGCTACTCTTATAATAACGATGAAATTATGTTATGCTATTAGCATGTAGTGAAAAATGTTATGAGATCGGTACTTACGCGAGTCGTGTGTTTCTTACTTTCGGAGGAGTCATAACAGCCCGGCCTAAGCTGGATTCATCGAAGAGGACAACCGCCTGTCTCTTTCCGCGTGTTATTGCTGTATACACATGCTGGCAGGTTTGGTACCACGGCTTGCCAACCACGTAAATGATAACATCCGATTCAGAACCCTAGTTGATTATTAGAATAATGAGCACTTGAAGACATGATCTATTTTGTGATTGATTAAATTTTAATGCACTGTGCTCTATCAAAAAACAACTCAAAGAATAGTATTTTAATGGATTTTTTTGCTGGTCTACAGCTCAGCTATGATATAAGACGTAAAATGCTACAAACAATGTCCCTAAAAGAGATTTTCATTAAAATGGCCCTATATTATAGATAGAGCGTAAAGAGAGCGTAAAGATTCTCATCTCCCAGATAATTTTGCAAAAAAGCATGATCAATAATTACAGATAGAGCTTTTAATACTCTGTGGTATCTTGTGGTACTTACCTGGTATGTATGGATTGTCCTTGCATAAGCATGCTTCATCTTAAGTTTCCTGATGTCTTTAAAGTCAATCTTCAACTGTCGCTCAAGGTCATCAATAACCCAGTGCCGATGCTTTTCACCTCTGTCCTCAACAATGCGGTCATCACGCAAGAAAAAGATTTCTCCATTTGTAATTTTGACCATTTGGTTATGCTCCATATCTCGCACTTCTCGGTTTTTTGTGGCACAAATCTTATCATTTATTTGAAAATCTCTTCGATTCTTGCTATCCCTTATAGAATGTTTATTGTAATGTTTACAGCAAAGTTCATTTATCAAGTCGCAATCTTTTCTCCTGAATGCAATAAACTGGGACTTTTCGTCTCCATTTTTAGAGCCAATGTCCTTAAGTAAGGACTCTTGTGTGTGAAGAAGGTCGTTAACTTTGATTCCTATATCTCTTTCATGATCAATGCAAAGAGGGACAAAACCCTTGCTTTCTTCAAACACGGGCATAATTTGCCTTGATATTCGTTTTGCATTTGCAACGATTAGTTCCGACTCTGCTCTGTGATTGGTTTGAAGCCTGATCGCTGCACCGTGTCGTCTTAGAGTACTGAACACATCAGCTAAGAGGTTACCAGGCTCGATGGATGGCAACTGATTGATGTCACCCAACAGAACAATTTGCGAAAGTTTAGCATGGACCCGTAAAATGCCAACAAGCATGGAGAAAAGTCTCACTGAGATTAGACTGCATTCGTCACAAATAAGCAACCGAGTTTCATGAAATCGCCAGTTTTGCTTGCCCTCTGCTGATTCCTCACTCATTCTGCAATGGTTGACGTAACTGTAAATTACTTGATGCATGGTGTATGCCATAACTCCCGCTCTTTTTCCTGCAAAACAAAAGTACAGTGAGATGCTTCATAGGCATGCGATCTATGTGCCATAATTGCTAGCTGACTATTAAAACCTTGTAAGAGATCATCTTTCTATTTTTGGCTTCTTCTGGCTTGATAGCTAAAGCTACAATACCAACCTTTGTTTCTTTGCTTGCGCCTCTGTATTTGTTTAAGCTATAAAGCAATAGATATTCCCCTAAGCAAAAAACCTTTGAATTAAACACTTGCTCACGTTGGACGGACGTTAGTTTAATCAAGAAAATATGTTTTACAAACGAAGGAAAAATCTTAAAGCAAGTTAACACCTTCAATACATTGAATTCCGAGTCACTAAACCGGACAATGAAGGCCAATACCTATAATTACAGCAGCTCTTCCTGTTGGTGCCGTTATTAAACACTCGTCATCGAGAAGCTGATCTTTTGATCTTACGTCATCATGGGTAAGCGTTTTTTCAGTTGTTTCTTCAGGAAGCCCCTGCTTTTCTAACTTGATACCACCTTGCGTTAACTCTGGTTTACCCTGTGCTTGCTCGGAGTGGGAATTATCTGCGTCTGCACAACATATTTCTTTTTTAACTGTGCTATCGTCCAACAAACTTGCTAGTGCACAAGCTGATGATATTCGATCATTATTTGCCTCTTCTCCTCTTTTCTTAGCTGCAAGAGGATGTAAATGGTACATACTAACTTTACATTTCGCAATAATATTTTAATTCTTATGGAAATTAGGCACAACAAGTACATAATTTGTAAAGAAATGCACGTAGAAAACTGGTTATCAACATTACAATTAAAAAAAGTTAGACACAAGTATGGAGCTATCAGTTAAAGGCAGAATATCAACTGCACTGTGTAAATGGTTAATTGTTAAAAGAAAATGATGCTTTGTTCTGTACTGATAACAATTTATTTTTTCGAAGAAAAGGACTAAGAATTCAGCTTTGCTTTATATTCTTGTTGATAAACAGGACCTGCCAGATTCACATTCTATTTTACAGCAAAGCCAGACATATTAGCCTGTTGCTGAACTATGTCACCCCAATTTCCTTCATTTAACTGTTCAAAATATATTTCGAAAAGATCTACGTTTTGGTAATTTTGTTTCTTTGTTATATATAGATAGATATATAGTCACGATAAAAAATGGTGCAAGATCATTGACGTAGGAGACATAGGAGCTGAGGAGGGCGCTACAGCATGATTTACCCAATTTCAGGCCTATTCGGGCAATTTTATGGCAATAAGGCAAACAATTTCTGGCAAGACCCATCCTAAGCCCCCCTGAACTTTTAGCCTCCATGATCAGATATGCGAAACTCTAGATTGTTAAAAAGAATCCTTAAAAAATTACCTTCCATGTATCATGTGTTCTACAAGGCCCCTGCCTAACTCAATGGCAAAAAGCAAAAAGAAGGCAAAACTGAAGATAAAGAACCACCTGATGAGCTTTTTTCCACTGAGTGTAAAGGACATTTCACAACAACTTGTGACAACAGTTTGCTAACAACGTAAGTCTTGCCACAGCCACCAGGACCTGAAAGTACAACCACTGGCTTTTCTGTCATCATTTGTGCTGCTTTCATCTGGTCAGCATCTCCTCCAAAATCCTTTGAAACAGATAAAATAAATTTGACGTAACTTGTACATCATAGTATATTATTTGATTGTTAGACAATGCATGGATAAACAAAGCTGGGTTCAAGAGGAGACGTATGCTGATATCTAACTAAAGAAGTGAAGCACTTTTATCTGTGGTCAATGGCATCTATATGAGTTATGAGTTCTGTTATTCAGTTTTAATCAATCCAGTTCCATTCTATTTACGAATTGTTCACATTACCACAAACTCATGACATATTTCACAAAATATGCCACAACAACAAAATATACACAAATACACAACAATATATTCAGATAAAGCTCTAGCAAAATTATTCTTCAAACTTATATCTTCAGATTCATTTTATTTTCAAAAGATTCATTTTTATTATATAGTATTCAGTTATGTCACAAGATTATTTTTTCTCAGCTCCCTTCTTGAAATTCTAACAAAAGTTTGAAATATGAAAAATGAATTTCTATGAACTTACAAGACCATTTAATGCTGATATGGGTAGGCAGGGTGAGCCAGACATCAACTGTTGGAGAGACTTTGCAATGTAAACTTCATATCCTTTGATGTGTGGAAAGACAAGTACCTCTTCTCCACTCATCAAGATATCTCTTTCAAGAATATTCTCCTTGATAAGATATGAAATTGCCTCAATAATATCATTATCATCCATATTTCTTTTCAAAACAGCCTTTTTAGCTGAATACAAGCTCTTGCAAGTGATCTGACGCATAGTTACATATGTATGCCCTTCATTGGCTGTAACTTTTTTCATGCCATTGTAAACATACAGAGCATCTTGCATCAATTTTGGCATCCTGTGCAAAAGGCCGCTGTCTATAAATCCTTTTAATTTCACTTCAACTCCATGCAAGCCAAACTTCTGTTTAGTTTTTACCAAATACCCAAGCTCCCAAGGAGAATCATGAACATGGCATCTAATTGCAGCATACATTCCAGGGGTAGATTTGCAATAATGCTTGCAGTATCCTTTGGGAATAGAGCTGAGCAATGCTTCAAGAATTTTTTGCAGTGAAGAAGTTTTCCTTGCTCTAAAAAAATGATTAAGACATGCTGTTATATTTAAAGCAATTGATTTCTTTGATAGTTTCAATTAAAGCTTGGTTTACAAATTATTGTGATGGAATGATCAAATAAATTTGTATAAGAAAGATATAATTAGATTCAAGCATTGATATGAAAGCAATGTTTTTCATAAACCTTTTAATAGCTATTAAGCTACTACCATGCAGCATTTTATACCAAGCCTGATTAGCACCTTATTTCTTATTTTTATATACAAGCCTAGAAATAACATATTTATCTTTATCCAATCTTTTTTCAAAGAAATCATTTTCAATGACTGAACTAATTCTTTACAACTACCATCTAATGACTTCAATTGTACAGTTGTTATTTCATAGACAGGAAATAACAATGTAGATAGGCAACTTGGAAAATTAAAATTTGTTTTTTGTTCTGAGATTATGTAGATTTATATATAGATGTATCCCTTGTCATGCTCCAAATTTAGTCTAAAAGCAGTTCTTAGCACAATTATCACTTTGTGGTCAGGTCAGGATCAATAAGGGGGGGGGGGGGGTAGAAATCTGAAATTCTGCACAATTTTTTGTTGCAATCCATCATACAGACATTTCTAGCCAAAAAATTCCCAAAAACTTTTTATAGAAGTTGCTGACCAGAAAAACCAAATTATGACCAGGACCTTCTTCTACAAAACAATAAGTGAAAAACCTCTGCAAAACTTTATAAAAATTCGCTTTACAATTTATTATATTTGAGCAAATCTGTGTCCAGCAAGTGTAGAGAATTCAGTCATTTCATTAAGAAATTGTCAGAATTTTTTAATACATAAAAGTTATGTTGTTCCACAAACCCTGATGACACAAACACTTGATAAGAAGTAGAAGGTATTTTTGCCAAATGCTGGATTATATTTTATGTAAACTGCTAGCAACTTTGCTATCTTCCAATATACCATCTGTTTCTGTTTTTGTTTATATTTCAATGTTTCATAAACTAAGGTAAAGATTTAAAAGAACGATTAGGCCTAGAAAAAATGACTTAACAAATGAAAACTAGTTTTTACCTGAATTTTCAAGGGCTACATCAATGCTATTGTGTACACCTTGTAGTTCGTTATTGTTCATCATATCTAAAATATTCTCCAGATTAGCAAAAGATACATTTGTATTATGGTTCCTTGCAAGGTCTTTAAGTAGGCCCAAGTGATGAGCATCAACACCACATTCATACAAAAACAGAAAGACAATAGTGTCATCAACACCAGGGTCATTTCTTAGCTGAGCCTTTGGAGGTCCTTGGAGGTATTTTGCTTTCGGTCCTTTCTTCTGATCCTTTAATCTCACATCAAGTTCCCACCATGGATACAAGAGTGCCCGCTGGAATATTCCTTGGGCATAAAGCATCTGTTCAGCATCTAGCTTGCCTTTACTTATGCACATTAGAGAAAGATCTTTGCATCTTTTATAACCATGTAATACTTTTCCTTTGCCAAAAGAGCCAGATGTTACATCCTTTACCTTTAAGAAAAAGTATAAAAATGAAAAATAGTTATTTTGTTAAAAATTTGTTTTTGTTAAAGTCATGTACCTAGTTTCATTTTAGCTCACACCACTCTACATAAGCTGATAAAATGGTATTTTCTCACACCTAAGCCTTTTGAATGACTAAGCTTATAACTAAACAATTAACTAGTTTGTTTTAATTATCTTAATATTTATTTATTTATCTGTATAGTTATCAAAATATTGGCAAGGTATGGCAAAGAATACAAAAAATATTCTTCTGAAAAATGCATTTTATAGTAGGAAAGCCTTTCAAAATATGTGTTTGGAACTTGATTCGATTTGAAAAGATACCCCTGAGACTTGGGGCCTGAGTGGATATGCGGAGAGTGGCTTTTAGTATAAAAATTTCGAGGAGTATGTCTACTGTTATTATGGTAGGCCTCTCATTAATGTTTGTTAACATGTTACATATGCCCCATATTAACTAAAGATAAGCCACTTTGTTTCAGACATCACCTATTTACCTTCAAATCACTGGTCCTTGTTTTGTTACGATTATCTCAAATCTTTGATAAGGCAGTTTCTATCAAACGAAGGCATTGATTTTATTCTAATGAAAACTAGAATTTAGTCAAATATAAATTGTTTGACCTCTTGTTTAAATGTAAATTTTTGACCAGAAATTCGCAGGGACTTCCAGTTCTCCGTGATCATTTTGCCGTAAATTGGCATACTTGTTACAATAAGAAAATAAACTTCTTTCTGAGTTAAACAAGCTCACTTCAAAATTACGAATTTCATCTCCATCGTCGCTGGCGTCGTCCAAACTTGATTCACCACCACCATCGTCTAATTCACCTCCTTTTCCCATGGCTACATTTTGAAGTAGCTTAGCAGATCTTCGCAATGTCGATAAAAAATCTTGACCGTTTGTTGCTTTGCCCTTACATAATTTCGAACTTTTGCTCTGAAATAAAGGGTATGCTTTTACCCGTTGAATGGGCTCCTCCATGTTGTTGTCTTCAAGGAGGCCGATCCAAGTTCCCATGTGTTCTCTTCCCGCTCAAAATTTTTAGATAATCAATCCAACTCAACGATAAAATGTACGCCCTTTTTGAAGCCATTAGGCGCCATTCCCTGATTAGAACTCGATCAAAAAAGTAATTTTTTCATTGGACAGTCTCGAGGTCACATTTAAATGTTTGTGATCCCAGAAGATCATTATTGGCCTTGAATTTAGCGAAATGTTCCACTTTTTTATTCAAATATGGCCAGATGGGGGCTGGGGGGTCCAGCCCCCCCCCACTTTTTTGCAACAAAGTATAGAACAAATGGAAAAAGAAGAAAAGACTAGTGCGATAAATCCTTTTACAGTATGGCTTTATTTCAAAGGAATAAGCCGGGGTCTATGGTGCCCAATAAAGTAACGAATTCCATTTTAAGACTGGAATTTATCAAACGTATAAAACCATGCCTTAAAAAAATTGCGAAACGTTTGCGAAAAAGTACCGCAAGGAATATTCTGAAATGTATTTTAAGCTAGTCTAGAGGGCGTGGTTGCCTCCTTCTCCAATATCTAAGGCCCCCGACAACCTCTCGCTGGCCCTCCAATGTACCGCTAGCATAACGATTGCCCCATATAAAATCATAGATGGGCATAAGATATCGTGAAGCATTTCAGTGCGTTTTCAAAAATTGGGTTTCTAGTCTAATAATGTTACCAAATCGAGCTCCCTCACTTTGAATTTCTTGGCGCCGCCCTTGTTTTTGCTCACCAAATGTACCAACAGTGGTACACTTGGTGAGCATGTTTTTCCTGTTTACAGTATGTAGATACATATCTACATAAGCAGGAACAACCCGCTATTGTGTAGACAGAGGAGTTCGATTTCAAGTTAGAACCCCATTGGTAACATTATCTAAAGGCATGCGTCAGTGATTGGGCAACCTCAACAGTCAGGCGCTCTCGTTTCTGATTGGCCTATTTCGATCCACATCTGGATATACATATTTCCTATCCTAAATAATACTTAATTTCAGTGATTTTGAGCCTTAATGTTCTTTTAGACCATATTCTTATATAAAAATTGTGTAGTCTTTTATTCCATACGACTGCTCATATATAAAGCTCAGTTTCTATTTCATTGTTTTTTTATTTTTACTTCAATGATTGGATTATGTTTATTCACTGTATTTTTCAATTCACTTCTCGATATTTTGTTGATTTCTTGACCTGAGAGATGTTCTTAATTCTTTCAAATCCTGTTTGATTTGTCATACCAACAATGTTTCATGCTAATTCTTTTTTGCTCTTCGTACACCTGTTTAGTTTTATCTTTCTGTATTCTTTTTTAGTATTTTGTCTCTTTTATTTTATCCTTCATTCCATAGATTAAAGGTCACATTGGTATAGCAAACCTTGATATGGTGTTGATACTTGTAATGAGTTAATATTGAGCATCCGTGTGTATCGTTTCAAGATTTATTAGCAGGTCTCTACGTATGTTTCTGTTCATTTGATGCTCACTCTGATGATGATTGATGATGATGATGATGATGATGATGATGATGATGATGATGATGATGATGATGATGATGATGATGATGATGATGATGATAATGATGATAATGATGATGATGATGATGATGATGATGACCATTTCCCAAAATTCACGTTCCTTGGTTCCTTTTTCACCCTTGGGATTCCTTGGTTCCTATAAGTTTCAGGCAGAAACTCTGTCAGTTTGTTGGGGGAGAGAAAGAGTACGATGGCAGTGAGAGCAAGAGGAGCGAAAGCGAAGTGTTGGACATTTGTCTACAAGTGTTTTCCAGATGATGTTATGGAGAGACTGGAACAGCGAAGCGAAGACTTCGAGTATCTTATAGCGTCGAAGGTGAACAACGAAGGAGAAGCACAATCCCTCCGTGGATATATCATTTTCAAATGTCAAAAAAGAATGAACAGCGTTGAAACAATACTCAATATTGAGGGGAGACCAGAGCGACTGGAAATAGAAATAGCTAGAGGCTCGTCGAGGAAGCACAAGGCTCAGTGCAAGTGTGGGCAAGGATTCTTTGAAATTGGAGAGAACAAATTCAAAGAAAGAGAGAAAAGTCAATTAGAAATGATGAGAGAAAGACGTATGCAAGAAGCCACCGAAGATGCCATGCTGGAGGAATTTGGGGACACCTGGATACATAGTCAGTCCTCAGTTGACAAAAGTATCAAGCGGCAGCAAAATGAGGAATCTAAGGAACGGATTTTGGACAAGTTTCAAAATGCACTTCTACGACCATGGCAAGAAGAGGTTTTGCGTCTGCTTCGCTGCCAGGGGCCACGTAGAATAACGTTCGTTGTTGACGAAACAGGAAATACCGGCAAGACCTTTCTTGCAAAGTACATTCTGGCAACAAAAAGTTCCTTGTATTTCACCTCTACAACATTGAAAGACACTGCTTATGCCTGGAACGGAGAGCGATACATCGTGTTTGATGTCAGCAGGGAAAAATCGGCAAAGATAAACTATTCAACATTAGAGACTATTAAAAATGGCATTGTCTTTAGTAGCAAATATAAGTCGTCAACTAAAATTTTCCCTATTCCAATTATTATATGTATGATGAACACTAGACCCTACGGTAAAATGATGTCCAATGATAGGTATCACATTGTCGTCTTAGATAAGTCCCCTGACCCCCTTGAACACCACATTTCATTTAAAATTGAAGACTTTAGGTATGCCCAGGAGCGTGTATCTGAATAAAAAACTTTGAAGTAAAATTGTGAATTTTTGTCGTTCTCTCCTTTAAAAGAATCATAAACGCCAGTGGAATGCTTACACGCCAGTAGCTTCAATTCTTAAAGCAAATATTACAATGCAGAGACTAGCCCGAGGAAGATTTGTAACCAGATGATATATTCAACCTTTTAAATTGCTTCAGTGGATAGGTTTCAGACAAAGGTTCGTCTTCCAGCCTTGAAATGAAACGGTCTTATAACCTCATTGTCATTTCATTGATAGATACAAAACCTTTCTTTTGGCTGGGCTTGCATTCATAAGTTTGCAAGGATATCCAAGGCTTTTGGCCTCGTTCCCATGTAGATGGGCCGGTGTTCTCGATATCGTTGTAACAACTGTTAATATAGAATGTAGATATATCATTGGGCTGGGCTTCTATCCATAAGTTTGCAAGGAAATCCAAGGCTTCTGACCTCGTTCCCATGTTGATGGGCTGGTGGTCTCGATATCGTTGTAACAACTGTTAATATAGAATGTAGATATATCATTGGGCTGGGCTTCTATCCATAAGTTTGCAAGGAAATCCAAGGCTTCTGACCTCGTTCCCATGTTGATGGGCTGGTGGTCTCGATATCGTTGTAACAACTGTTAATATAGAATGTACATATATCATTGGGCTGGGCTTCCATCCATAAGTTTGCAAGGAAATCCAAGGCTTCTGACCTCGTTCCCATGTTGATGGGCTGGTGGTCTCGATATCGTTGTAACAACTGTTAATATAGAATGTACATATATCATTGGGCTGGGCTTCCATCCATAAGTTTGCAAGGAAATCCAAGGCTTCTGACCTCGTTCCCATGTTGGTGGGCCGGTGTTCTCGATATCCTTGTAACAACTGTTAATATAGAATGTAGATCTATCATTGGGCTGGGCTTCCATCCATAAGTTTGCAAGGAAATCCAAGGCTTCTGACCTCGTTCCCATCTTGATGGGCTGGTGGTCTCGATGTCATTATCAAAGGCCACTGCCTTGTCAAACTTTATAAGGAAAAGCCCAGCCCAACATTTTATAATGTATAGTATAGCACATCCATCCGAGATTAGAAGCCAACATCATTGCGAGGACGGAAGACCACTCATTGCCTTGTCAAACTTTATAGGAAAAAGCCCAGCCCAACATTTTATAATGTATAGTATGGCACACCCATTCGAGATTAGAAGCCAACATCATTGCGAGGACGGAAGACCACTCATTGCCTTGTTAAACTTTATAGGAAAAAGCCCAGCCCAACATTTTATAATGTATAGTATGGCACACCCATCCGAGATTAGAAGCCAACATCATTGCGAGGACGGAAGACCACTCACTGCCTTGTTAAACTTTATAGGAAAAAGCCCAGCCCAACATTTTATAATGTATAGTATAGCACACCCATCCGAGATTAGAAGCCAACATCATTGCGAGGACGGAAGACCACTCATTGCCTTGTCAAACTTTATAGGAAAAAGCCCAGCCCAACATTTTATAATGTATAGTATGGCACACCCATCCGAGATTAGAAGCCAACATCATTGCGAGGACGGAAGACCACTCATTGCCTTGTTAAACTTTATAGGAAAAAGCCCAGCCCAACATTTTATAATGTATAGTATAGCACATCCATCCGAGATTAGAAGCCAACATCATTGCGAGGACGGAAGACCACTCATTGCCTTGTCAAACTTTATAGGAAAAAGCCCAGCCCAACATTTTATAATGTATAGTATGGCACACCCATCCGAGATTAGAAGCCAACATCATTACGAGGACGGAAGACCACTCATTGCCTTGTTAAACTTTATAGGAAAAAGCCCAGCCCAACATTTTATAATGTATAGTATGGCACACCCATCCGAGATTACAAGCAAAGATCACTACGAGATTATAAGGCCAGAACGTCTACAAAACTGTAGGAATAAGAGCTAGTCAAAAATCAACTTATATCATTGTTAGGCGTCTGGCACATGCGTATATACGAATCGAACAGAAAAACAACTTTGTAAAAGAAATATTCAAACATTCTTCCCATCATGTATTATGATTCCTAAACGATTTCTACGACATAACTTTTCCACACAGCTTTTCATACATACAACGAAATTGATTACTTCTAACGTGTCTTAACAAAGAGTTACGTGCTCTTCCCTCTGCGAAGCACAAGCTCGGGTCCGAAAGTATTTTGCCCCATTTGCCATAACCATGTTTGTTTATTCCCTTTATCAAATTCAAGTCCTCCTTCTCAGTGAATGGTGTTATACGCTTTCGAATT